CCCGATTTTCGAGGGGGCGACGCCGGACGCCCCGCATCTTTCTCACCCCGTTCGTCAGCGCCTACGGCATAGGCACGCCAAGGGAGTCAGGGCCAACGAGTGCATCGACGCCTTGAACGAGCTCTACGGCATGCCATCTTCCTCGGTGCAGGCACCGCCCACGGCGGACAGGAGCGCGGCCCAGGCAACGGCTCAGCGCACAGTTTTGAGGCATGTCGGCCCCGCTCGAGTGCCTTCTTTTTCGCAGTAACGAGAAGCCGTCCGCGAGCTTCTCGGCTCCGGCCTCGTCTACGACAGTGGGGAGGTTCCAAGTGCTGTGGCTAGGTATGACGCCGCGCGCATCGCGGTTCCGGAGGGTTTGGAGCAGCCCCCAGCCGCACTTGATGTTCTCGACCCCGAGGGGGCGCGATGCCTGAGGGAGTTTCGAGCACGCATGATGCTATCTGAGGATGAGTTCGGCCAGCGGTGTGAGAGTGAGGCCCCTGTGATTCCCTACATGGACCCGACGCTGGCCGCAGATGCGCATAAGTATGCAGACTTCGTGGCGCGACTGGACCGCGCGAACATGCTGAGGTACTCGACGAACGCTCAGGACCTCATCGCGCCATTCTTTGTTCGCAAGAAGTCAGGGCAGTTGCGGATCGTGTGGGACTGCCGCGCGGTCAACACCCGTTTCGCCAGATGCCCGAAGATGAACATGTCGTCTGGGAGCAAGTTGGCTGATCTCGAGTTCGGCCCCGAGGAGGAGGTGTTCACCGCCCAGGCGGATCTGAATAACTACTTCTACCTTTTGGGCATCTCTGAGGAAGGGTCAGAGTTTTTCGCCCTGCCCGCGCTCGACGTCAGCCTGCTTAGGGGCAAGTGCAGGCTGCCGTCGGACATCTCGGCGCTCCCAGAGGGCAGCATGGTGTCGCCCTGTTTGGCTGCGGTGCCGATGGGCTGGAGCTGGGCGATGTGGGTTGCTCAGCGCGCGGTCTATCATCAGTCCGTTTGCAGCCGAGCGGTGCCCGTGGATCGCATCTTGAGTGACGAGCGCCCGGCGCCCGACATGTCGGGCGGGCGGCCTGCGCTGCTGGCCTACGCCGACAACGTCAATGTCGTGGGCTCTGACGCGCAGCGCACAGGGAAGATGCGAGACGAGTTGGTCGATCACTTCAGGAGCATCGGGTTCGTTGTCCACGAGATCACGGGGCCCTCGGTGGACGCCGTCACTCTGGGCTACAAGGTCATGGGGCGCGAGAAGCTCGTCGTGCCCACGGATTGCAAGCTGGAGCTGATCAGGGCCGCAGGGCTCTGGCTTCTTCGGCGCCCCCGCGTCAGCGGCAAAGCTTTGGAGCGGTTCGTGGGCCACTGTACTCACCTGTGCCTTTTGCGTCGTGAAATGTTCGCTATCTTCCATCATGTCTACTCATTCATCTCGGCTCACGCCATCAGCCGCTGCCGTGTCTGGGGGTCGGTGTGCAGGGAGATCAGGCGGTTCATCGCGCTGCTGCCGTTCTGCCGGGCGCGGCTCGATAGACCATGGAGCCCCAGGGTCACCTCGTCGGACGCGCGTCTGTGCTCGCGGATGCTGGGCTCCGAGGTCGTCAGGTCGCTTGGATCCTTCAAGGAGAAGTCTAGGTACAAGGCTGGGACCCCCACTATCAGGGCTCGTGATCATGCACTCTTGGGCTCGGACGTTTTCAGCATACTCTCAACACTGTCAAGCCGGTGGACCCCGTCGAGACTCCAGAGGTCTGGGACGAGAACCCCATCTTCGTCGAGATCCCTCAGGAGCTCTTGGATCCCAAAGATTGGCAGCTCGACTTCGCAGCTCGTTTCCTGGAGGTCGAAAACATCATGGTACTCGAAGGCAGGGGCTCCGTGGCGGCCCTCAGGCACCAGCTCCGTTCTCTGGCGTCGTTCGGCTGCTCACTTCTTCATCTTGGGGATAATATATCGTTCATTTTGGTTTCAGAATAAGGCAGGTCCTCCGCCCCAGGATTGTTGAGGATCGGCAGGCGTCTTCTCGCACTGACACTTGCTGGCGACGTTCGGGTGCACCATCGATGGCACCCGTCCGAGCTGAACGCGGCGGATGGTGGCTCGCGGCTCTGGGAGGGCTCTGACGCGCTCCTCTACGGTCCTGAGGCGCCCTGCTTCGTCCAGGGGCCTTGCCAAGCTGACCAGGTCGCGGCCCTTGTCGCCGGAGCTCGCGACAGACATCGTCGAGGTCGCACGCCCATTTGGCTTGGGGGTGGCCAGCGCGATGGCGCTTGCTGCCGTCATGGCGCAGTCGTGGCCGACGTGTCTCGGCGCCCTGCGCAGGCGGGCCGCCTTTTGCCTCCTCCGGGGCTTACTGGTGATATCGCTGGAGTCCGCCGATTTCGCGATGGCCGAGCTGGTGCAGGAGTTGTGCACCGACGGCGACGACCGCTCCGCGGGGCAGGTGCTCTACGCGGCCTGGCAGGTGACTGCCCCGTCGGCGGGCAGAGGGGGAGCTTCGCTGCCCCGCACGCCTCAAACCCCTCCTGGCCTGGTCGCGCCTGGAGCCGGCGGTCACTCGGCCGCCGATGCCCTGGCTGGGCGCGGTCTCGGTGGCGCAGGTGATGCTGGACTGGGGCGAGCCGCTGGCAGCGTTGCTGGTGGTGTTGTGCTTCACGTGCCACCTGAGGCCCTCGGAGGAGCTCTATCTTCAGGTGGCGGACGTGGCGGCGCCGCTGTTCCCGATCTCGCCCTGCATCGCTCTGAACCTTCACCCCGAGGAGAGAGGCCAGACATCGAGGCTCTTCATCGGCGAGGCGCTGCTGATCGCAGTTGAGCTGGCGACCAGCCAGAGGATCTTTTCGTTCCCGATGGTCTCGTTCGCCGCGCGGTTCAGGGCCGCCTAGCTGCCCCTCGGGATGACGAAACGGCATGTCTTGTACCAGAGGCACGGCAGGTCGTCGGAGGACAGGAGGGAGAATGTGAGGACGCCGCTGGAGGGGAAGCAGCGCGGCCGCTGGAGTGCCGACGCCGCGATGAGACGTTAGAAGGCGGCGGCCCGGCTGCAGCGAGAAGACGCCCTGCTGCCGCGGGCCGTGATGACGGTGGCTCTGGGTGCCCTGCAGCCGCTGCCGGGCGCCCTTGCGGCGTCGTTGAGCCGCCTCCTGATGTCCGCAGAAGGCGCGGCTACTGCATCGAGGTTTTTGCCGGCTGCCGTCGCCTCTCGCTCGAGCTGGCCAGCAGAGGCCACCGCGCATATACCTTTGACATTGCGCACTCGGCCAACCAGGACATCCTCAGACCTGAGGCCTGGGCGGCCCTCCTTGAGCTCGCGGTCTCACCTGCCCGCCGTCTCGTCTGGCCGGGTGCCCCTTGCACCTCCTGGTCCAGAGCTCGGAGAGGGGGGGCTGGTCCCGCCCCCCTCCGAGATTCGGGGCCAGGGCTGCTTGGTGTCTCTGGCCTCAGTGACAAGGATTTGGCAAGGGTCCGCCTAGGCAACGCGTTGATGCGTGCCTCGGCCGCGCTGGCTCGTGCCTGCATCCTGGCGAATGTGCGCGTCGTCATTGAGAATCCCTTCGCCTCTAGAATTTGGCTGACCCGTCCTTTCATCTCGCTCAAGCGTCTCGGGGCCGAAATGTATACGTCTAGCTTTTGCCAGTATGGGACGCCGTGGCAGAAAAACACGTCTCTGCTGGCTTTTGGTTGTCCTGAGCTCTCAACTATCAAGAGATGTGTCATGAGTCGAGGGCGGTGCTCGGCCACTAATAAGAATCACGAGCAACTTGTAGGTAAGAATGCAGTGGGGATATTTAAGACTCTTGTTGCCCAGCCATATCCGCAATTGTTTGTCGAACGTATCTGCGAGCTGTTATTTAAACGCTTCGCGTAGGCCGTTGGCCAAGTCCAAGAATTTGGGATTGGGGATCCTGATAAATGTCTTCGGGTGCCTCCGATCTGTGTGATGCCCCTGGTCAGCTCGCAGGCCCTTCAGTGCTATCGGATATGTGTTTCATCTCTGGCGGCGAAAAATGAGCAGAGCCACATGTATGTGCTTGCTCGGGAATGGTGTCTGCGGTGTTGGAGCACCGCCGTCCGTGCAGCATCGGTCCATTGACACGATGGCTCAAGTTTTTTCCGGCTATCCCCAAGCCTACCCCTTTTTCACCTTCCTGCTCAGCAAAGCTGGGGGGATCCTGATAAATGTCTTCGGGTGTCTCCGATCTGTGTGATGCCCCTGGTCAGTTCGCAGGCCCTTCAGTGTTATCAGATATGTGTTTCATTTTTGGCGGCGAAAAATGAGCAGAGCCACATAATGATCATCAACTTTACCATCACCATCATCATCATAATCATCATCATCATCATCAACATCAGCATCACTATAATTATCATGATTAGAAACATCATTGCCGTCACAGGCATTACCGTCATCACTATCACCATCATCACCATCACCATCAACACCACCATCATCATCAGCAGCAACATCATCACCATCATCATAACCATCATCATCGTCAACATCAGCATCACCACCATCATCATGATTATCGTCCTCATCAACAACATCAGCATCACTATCATCATCATCATCACCAACAGCACCACCATGATCATCAACATCATCATCATCACCATCATCATCATAACCATCATCATCATCAACATCAGCATCACTATTATCACCATTGTGATCATCATCGTCACCATCACATGCATCATTATCAGCACCATCTAATCATCATCACCATCAACACCACCATCATCATCATCATCAACAACAACATCAGTACCATCATCATCATCATAACCATTATCATCATCAGCATCACCATCATCATCATGATAATCATCATCACCATCACAGGATGCATCATCATCTTTACCATCGTCATCATCATCACCATCAGCACCACCATCATCATCATCACCATCACCATCAGCATCAGCATCAGCATTATCATCATCATCATCATCATCATCATCATCATCATCATCATGCCGGCCCCGGCCTGCGCCCGCCCGCGCAGCGGCAGGCCCAGGGGACCCGGCGCGGCGCCCTCGCCCTGGGCACCTTCGGCGCCGCGGCCGCCGCAGGGGTGCTGCCCGGGGCTCGGCCCCACGCGCGCGCACGGTCAGGGCCTCCTGGATGGGGTCCTCCTCCTCCTCCTCCCTCCTCCCCCCCTCCTTCTCCTCCCCCTCCGCCTCCCCCTCCTCCTCTTCCTCCTCCTCCACCTCCTCCTCCTCCTCCTCCTCTGCCTCCTCTGCCTCCTCCTCCTCCTCCTTCTCCTCCTCCTCCTCCTCCTCTCCCTCCTTCTCCTTCTCCTCCTCCCCCTCCGTGGGAAAGCCGTGACTCTGCAAGGTTGAACGAGTCATTGTAGGCCTCCCGGATGGGGTCCGAGTGGATGGTGTCGGAGGCTCGCGCCGCATCGCCGATGCATCGCCGATGCATCGCCGATGCGGCTCGATGTGGAGCCTGGGCTGCTTCATGTCGACGTCGCTGATGCATCGCCGACGTTGGCGATGCAACGCCGGTGCATCGCCGATGCATCGCCGATGCATCGGCGAGGCGGCGCGATCCTCCGACCCCAGCCACTCCGAGCCCATCCAGGAGGCCTCTACACGGGCGGCCAGGCGGCACCGCAGACGTCTGCGGCCAAGCCGCTGACACAGGGACCGCTTTCCCAGACAGGATCGCGTCGTTGGTGATCGTTTTCTTATCATTGTTTTGTCGATCGGCGCGGGCCCCCTCCCCGGCCCCATGGAGTAGATTTTGGCTGCTTTTGGCGCCTGTTTTCAAGCTAGTGAGGTCTCCCCCGCAGCACGCGCTGCTGCAAACAGTCCATTCAGCAGTGCTGCAGAGCCAGAGCCCCCCCCCTCCCCCCCTTCCGCCCAATGTCGAAACGCCGAGCAAGAAAACGCTTGAGCGGGCGAAGAGCGGTATGAAAGAAACTGTTCCGCCCTCGGGAACGCCTGCCCCAGTGCGGCTGGAAAATGTACCCCAACGTGGCACCGCAGGGGTATCAACTTTGCAGCCGCCCAGGGGGCAGGCTCCCCCGACGGCGGATCATTTTATGTTATATCGTTTTTTGCCTGCTAACAATTCACTGCGGGATGCTTTTCGACTTTCGGCTTCTGGGGGCCCCTACCCGGCCTCGGGGTCGTCAAAAAACGACCCAGGACGAAAAACCGGTCTGGGGGAAGGGTCGAGACCTTTGGTGGTCCACGCTGTGAAAAAATCACCCAGCCCGTCAAGAAACGGCTCAGGATGGAAGACCGGTCCCAGGAAAGGGCTGGGGCTTCCGGGAGCCACGTATCGAAAGAATCAGGGCATCGCGCGCGTCTGGGAGGGGCTCGGGTTTTCGGCCGTTTCTTGGCGCTGTGTCGTGGAACCTATTTGTGGCCTAGGCCTGGGCGTGGCCAGAAAAGCCCCTTCGCGTCTTGTTTTGCGTTCCTTGTGGTGGCGCGATGCTTGCATGTCGGATGAATCGGTGGTTCAAGGATGGGGTCCTGGGGGACGGGGTCCTGAGTACGAGGTGCCCCGAACTATGCCAATCCACCCTTGGATCCCTTCCTATCCGCAGGACCCCATCCCTCAGGACCCTATCTGTGAACCACCGAATGACGAGCTGGTCCTTGGAAATCGGGGAGCAAACAATTTCTGGTTTATCCAAAGAGGAGGGGAGCTAACGAAAAGGGAGTAGTGCAATAGATTTGGTGCAATCGATGTGTGGGGTTGCACTAGTTTTGGGGCGTGCAATACATTCCGGTGCGCAAGTGTATTTCTGGTCTTCGCATGCAATATTTTCGTTGCAATACAATCAACACAACTCTCCGGCGCAATACGTTTGCAATACAATTACCCTGAATCTATCGCACCACCCCTTTTCAGCTGGAGCCCCTTGTGGGTCGACCAAACACTTGCATGAACAGAACAACTCGGAGCTCCGCGTGGAATCCTCGGATCGGCGTTGGAGCCCCCCTGGCCGCGCGCGTCTGGCGCTGCCCCTGGCGGTCTCCGCGCGCCCGGGAGGGAGGTCCAGCGCCGATCCGAGGATTCCGCGCGGAGCTCCGGACTTTTTTTGTCTCTGTGGTCGTTTTCTTATTCGCTGTTTTGCCGATCGGCGCGGGCCCCCGCGCCCGCGCCCCTCCCAACCCCTAGAGTGGATCTCGGCTGTTTTTGGCGCCTGTTTCGAGCAGGTGGAGTCCCTCCCCCATAGGACGCACTGTTGCAAACAGTCTGCACTGAGCAGAGGTCCGGAGCCGACCCCGCCCGCCCCTTCTCGCTCAATGTCGAGACGCCGAACAAGAGAACGCTCACTATGCCATTGTTTGCCCCCCCGGTTTCTCGGGACCCTTTTCCCACTTGATGGGGCTTACGTTGGGCGCCGCAGGGCGGGGCCTCCTTTTCCTTCTCTCCGATCCTCGTGCCTGCTCGTCGTCGTTGGCAACGTTGCTTTTCGTCGTCGTCCCCGTCGTCCCTCCGTCTCTCGTCGTCGTCCGTGTGTCGTCGTCCGTCGTTCGTTCTTAGCCATCTTATTTCTTGTCGCCGTCGTCCCCCCCAACCTCCGTCTTCGTCGGTGTCCTCTCTGTTCTTCCTGTTTGCCCGGGGCGCATTCGCCTCTGCTGCGTGATGCCCGAACTAGAAACCAGGGACGCACAATACCCATCTGCAACATGTGGCAAAGTCAACGGACCCATCCAGCACAAACGATCACGTAAGGGAAAGGATATTAGGTCACTGTCGCAAAACGAATGCAAGGGAAACGAGGTGTATCGGGAAGAAAAGCAGGACGACAACGATCCGTAGTTATTTTGGCTCAAGCCAGTTGTGCTCAAGAGCAGGATTTCGTTCTCGGCTGCAACACGCGCGGGGCCCAGATCATGGCCATGCCTAGTGGCATCTTCGCCACAGCTCCCACGAAGCAGGGTCTCGGGGACGCGGCGACAAGGGACACGTTCATCGAGTTGTGCGGCGACAAGCGCCAGGGCTCTCGCAGTCTTTCCCGGTCCAGCAGCGAGCCCTGCAGCGAGTCTTCTTCCAGCCACAGCGCGTTCTTCGACGCCGACCGCGTGAGCACTTCTTGGGTACCGACGCACGTGGGAGATGCCTGGGTATCGAACGGCCAGGAGGAGACCACGAGTTACAGCCTCGACAAGTGGCGCTTGTTCGCCGCTGCGGAGGCAATCGACGATGTCCCCGAGCAGCTGGGCCGAGTGGTGCAGAACAAGGCTAAGAGCCTTGCCGAGAGCGTGAAGACCGAGCTGGCCTTGGTGCAACAGGCCATTCGCAGCAGGGGTGGCGGCAAGGATGGCGTCGATGCGGCCATCGATCATCTCGGCAAAATCCCAGAGATCATCAGAAGGTCGTTTGACTCGAAGATCATAGAGGCGAACGACGCGATGCGACTGGCGATGCGGCTGAAACGGAGCGCCATCGTGCAGATGCTCAAGAGCATTACCCCTGATGGCCAAGAACTGGTGAGGCGGTTGTGGACCATTCCCGAGAAGTTGGAGCAGATCGTTGGGCAGGCGGTTGGCCAGGCCGTGGAAGAGTCCCAGCTGGAGGCTACCAGGCATTGCGAGCGCGTGTTGATGAGCCTGCCGCTGGACGCGGGTGTGTGTCGCCATGTTTTGATAGATGCCGAGCTACGCATCGCGGAGGCGGTGACCGAAATGTGCTCCGAGACGATGCGGGCCCTGAGGCGCACGGTCAATGCGAACGTGAGGCTCGCCGTGACCTACGTGCAAGACCCATGAAGACCCCCGCCGTATCCCAGTCCGTGGATATGCCACGCGGCCCGTCCGGCTCAGAACAGCCGCAGCTGCGGAGTCGCTGGCCGCGCCCGTGCAGCTAGGTCGGTTGAGAGAACCGCTGGACAAGACAATTCATGATGTGTTGACTCCAGCGCCTCCGCTTGACTGTGCAATTTACGAGGCACGTGCGTTCACTTGTTGGCGCGCTGGCCTTTCAGAGCCCTCATCGACAATGCGGGAGGGGAATTGGTGCATGCGGTCCGCTGCTGCGCCCGAATACCTAAAGTTGTGAAGCGCGAGGTCTCTGCCATGCCATTGCAGAGGCCTACGATCGATTCTTTTGCAGTGTACGGTTCCGCTGCCTATCTCTGCGTTCCGAGTCTTGCTATGTACGGCATGATGGGTCAAGCTTCTGCAGGCCAGGCCCAGGGGAGTCGCCAAGCCTTCCCACATCAGGATCATTGGATGTGATGCCACGTGTTTCTCGCTCCAGGGGATCGCAGGTACCCCAGACGCATGACGTTCGGATGAAAAACACGCATCGCCCGCTGCCAGTGATCCGGTTGTTCCTTTTGCGGCCGTTGCGTAACTTCGACGCGGCGCCCTGTTTGATTCAGGTACTGCGTCTTTGCTCCTCGTCGTATCGCGGTCCAGTACCACTAGTGGTTTTACGCCTCTGGTGGTTGTGGCCTTTTACGAGGTGCGTCGGGGCAGTCGGATGTGGAATTGCGCGGCATGTACAGCGCGTGAGGACTCCATACATTGAGCTCTCACAAGTGACATGCAAGCCGAGCGCTCAGGGAGACGAGTAAAAGTCTCTGGGTGAAAGACACAGTTTGGAGAGTAAAGTGTCCCCACAGTGCCCTGGACGGCGCTTTCCCTGCCCAGCGAAAGCCACACACTAGCACATTGGCAGGCTTGCAGGTGAGCTCCGCTTACGCACAGCTCAGCATGCTGATATTCAGAAGCTGGTGGCTCTTTCTCATCCCTCCTGTTCCTTCCTCCCTCCTTCTGCCTCCTCCCCGTCTTCCCCCTGCCTTCACATTTGAGTGCTCAGCAGCGGAGGTCTATCAGCGCGTCAATCGGTGTGCCCCATCGCGCCAAGGCGTGTCAGGCTGGCAGGCTAAGATGTGGGTGACGTCCGCCTGCAAACAGCCCAACAATCTTTATTCACACTCAGGACGTGTTTCTCCTCCCCCCGCCACACACCTCACAGTGGATGTTCTTGGGCACGGTGTGCTTTCGGCATAGCGTGCGAAACGGCTGGCGGCAAAGACGCCCTACGCCAGATATGGCAGCAAGGCCAGCTGGCATGGCGCATCCGCACAAAACGCTTCAGCAATCTTT